CCAGCATTTGTTATTTTCTGTCTTGTTGAACTTTGCTACTAGTGCTGGAGCAAGATATACCTCAGATTTTTAATACAATAGGCTTACTGGGAGTTCGTTTGTAACTATGGATTGTATGTAAGTTGGACACTCATGACCCAGGGACTGCCTGTATCAGTATTGACAATGTGAAAAACACATCTACAAAGATCCCATTCATAATAGCATAATTGTCTTCCTAGTCTGAACTCTATTCCTCAATAAGTATCTTTTGGTTTTACTTTAAGCAGACTCTGATTTTGCTGTAGGACAAATTAATAAAGCCCAACAATTTCTATCCTAAAAAACCAAATCCAAACTCACTGCCATAGAGTCGATTCGACTCATAGCAACCCCTCCTTGAGTTTCCGAGGTGGTATCTCTATGGAAGTAGATTGCCCAGTCTGCCTTCCAAGGAGTGGCTGGTGGCTTTGAACTGCCATCCTTCTGGTTAGCAGTCAAATGCCTTAGGCACTACGCCACCAGAGCTCCTTTCTATCATAAAGTGCCCTCCCGCCACCAGAGCTCCTTTCTATCATAAAGTGCCCTCCTATTTAGAGTAACAATGTGTTTTAATATGTACATTTTTACTTTGCTGGACTTTTAAGGAGGAGAGAAGAAAAATTATAAAACATACTCATCTTAGAATTGAGCTAGTAAAGGAAACTAATAAAACCATGTAGTATGGGTTAATTTTGTCCCATTGCAAATGACATTTAAATGGAACTTTTTCTAATCCAAAATTCCTCTAACATGAGGAATTAAATCTAATGGTGTTGTTTCTTCAGGTGACAAGGCAATTGTATGAGCCATTAGTCATGCAACTGATCCACTGGTTCACCAACAACAAGAAATTTGAAAGTCAGGATACTGTTGCCCTACTAGAAACTATATTGGTAAGTCATAGTGCATTCTTTACCTGTTATTAACCATTGTCTAGTTGCATTTGGTCTAAGGTTGGATTTCTGAGAAAATTTACCTGTCAAGATACCAATATGTAGTATCTAAGTAGATCTACTTATTAACAACAAACAGATCATATCTTTTTTGCTTTTTTCTTAAGAAATTGGTGAAATAGTTTTAATGCATAGTATGTCATTGTTTATTTACTTCAGTGATACTTTTGAATACTTAAATATTGATTTATATTTTTTGTTTTATTATGTTTCTTAGGAAGATGGTTATGAATTTGACAAACTTAATGTATAATAAGGCTGAATATATGTGTGCCCATTGTGTGTGCATGTGTACATGTGTTTTTGTGCACATGTGCATATGTGTGCCTCTGTGCATATGTACACATGTGCTGAATGTGAGAGGATTAAGGAAGAATGTTTTTGGACTTACTTTTATTGGAGTTATAATATGCTCTAACTTTTTTTTTTTGAGCTAATCAAATTTTTTCCTGCATTCTTATTCAACAGCTAAAGGGCCTTAGAAACAGGAGCTTATCTTTTACATAGTAATATCCTGAGGTAGTACATATAGAATCATTAGGACCTGGCCCTGACTCACAGAGGATCGAGGCAGGCTCTGTTAGCTGTGTTCTAATATCTGTATTAGAGCTTAAATTGTGAAGCGCTTAGTTTGTGGAAGGCTGCAGTCTACAGAGGGAGCTCTAACTCCATTTTGAGTCTTGACATAAGTTCTTTCTGACTTTTAAACCAACATTTTATCTACTTATAGACAAATTTGGGAGCAAACCTAGGGAGGGGCAGTTCGTCCTTAGGAACAGTGTGGTTAAAAGTAGGTTATGCTCACACAAAGAAATGGGGAACTTGCCTACGTGTGTCCTTTTCTAATTTAAATTAAGATTGGAGTCCTGGTATTGTCTTGTGGCTACCTTATTGCTATGACTTAGTCTTTATGGTCATGAATCATATCTGGACCACCAAGTAGCCAGGTCTGAACAGAAAATTTTAAAGGGCAGCTTGAAAGGACAAAGTAACATATTATAATGAAATGTGCAAAGACCTGGAAATGGAAAATCAAATGGGAAAAACAACTGGGCATTTCTCAATCTGAAAGAACTGAAGAAAAAAATTCAGGCCTCGAGTTGCAATACTAAAGGATTCTATGGGCAAAATATTAATGATGTAAGAAGCATCAAAAGTAGATGAAAGGAATACACAGAGTCACTGGTCACTGTACCAAAAAGGATTGATTGATGTTCAGCCATTTCAGAAGGGAGCATGGGATCAAGAACCAATGGTATTGAAGGAAGAAGTCCACACTGCACTTAAAGAACTGGCCAAATACAAGGCTCCAGGAATTAATGGTATTCTATTGAAATGTTTTAGCAAATGATGCCAGTGCTAGAAGTGCTCACTTGTTTATGCCAGCAAATTTGTAAGACAGCTACCTGGCCAGTCGGCTGGAAGAGATGCATATTTGGGTCTATTCCAAAGAAAGGTGATCCAGCAGAATGTGGAAATTATCAAACCATATCATTAATATTATACATAAGTAAAATTTTGCTGAACATTTCAAAAATATTTGCAACAGTTACATTGACAACATTGACAGGGAACTGCCAGAAATTCATGCTGGATTCAGAAGGGATGTGGAATGAGGGATATCACTGCTGATGTCAGAGGATCTTCGCTGAAAGCAAAAAATACCAGAAAGATATTTACTTTGTTTTATTGACTATGCAAAGGCATTCGACTATGTGGATCATAACAAATTATGGATAACATTGTGAAGAATGGGAACATTTAATTGTGCTCATGAGGAATCTTTATATAGACTAAGAGGTAGTTGTTCAAACAGAATGAGGGGAAACTGCTTGGTTTAAAATCAGGAAGGGTGTATATCTTTGTATCTTTTCACCATACTTATTCAATGTTTATGCTGAGCAAATAGTCAGAGAATCTGAATTACATGAAGAAGAACATGGCATCAGGATAGAAGGAAGACTCATTAACAACTTATGATTTGCAGAGGACACAACCTTGCTTGCTGAAAATGAAGAAGACTTGAAGTACGTACTGATGAAGATCAACGACTACAGTCTTCAGTATGGATTACACCTTAACGTAAAGAAAACGAAAATCCTCACAACTAGACCAATGAGCAACATCATGATATATGGAGAAAAGATAGATTTTGTCAAGGATTTCATTTTATTTGGACCCACAATCAGTGTCCATGGAAGCAGCAGTCAAGAAATAAGACTGTGCATTGCACTGGGAAAATCTGCTAGAAAGGACCTCTTTAAAGGGTTGAGGAGCAGGGATGTCACTTTGAAGACAATGGTGCACCTGACCCAAACCGTGACATTTTCAGTAGCCTCATAAGCATCTGAGAGCTGGACAGTGAATAAGGAAGACCACAGAAGAATTTATGCTTTTGAATTGTGGTGTTCATGAAGAATATTGAAGGTGCCATAGATTTCTAGAAGAAGGAACAAATCTGTCTTGGAGGTAGTACAGCTGGAATGTGCTTGTGGTGGTTATGTTTGTATGTCAGCTTGGCTAGGCCTAATTGAGTGGCTGGGCAGCTGGTGGTAGTTATTCCCCATGATGAGACTGACAGTCACCTCCAGGGTGGGATCTACCACAAGCAGCTGAATAGCTTCTTTGGGTTTGTGGTCTGCTTCCCGTATATATGAAGCAGCTTTGGGAATGGTCTCTAGCCTGTGGTACTCTTGGACCCTGCTTGTAGCCGTGTCATTGCTCAGCAGCGTGCTATGCTCTGCCGACCTTGGGACTTACAATAGACTTAAGTTAATGGCCTGCCATGTGGTTTGGTAACATTGGGACTGTACCTTTTTCCTTGTCAACCTTGGGTTTGTCAGCCTCAGCAGCCAGCAGCTGTCTGAGTGAAGAAACACTTCTAGCTCCAGTGGGCCGGGAGCAGGAGGCAGAGCTGGACCCCAAGTTTGAGGGGCTTTGACCCAGCCCCTAGAGCTTGGCACGTTGAACTTGGACTTAAAGCCTCCAAATTGTAAGAATAAACTCCTGTTTGTTAAGGTCATCCCATTTGCGGTATATTTCCTGTCAGAATGGTACTAGGTAACCAGATCAGTTCTTTTAGAAGCAAGAGTGGCCAGCCTTTGTCTCTCATGTTTAGTCATGTTCTCAGAAGGCACCAGTCTCTGGAGAAGCATATCATGCTGGGTAAGTAGAAGGCTAGTGAAGAAGTATAAGACCCTCAACGAGATGGATTCATACAGTGGCTGCAGTGATGGGATCAAGCATAGCAGGAATTGGTGAGGATGGCGCTGGATTGGGCAGTGTTTTGTTCTGTTGTACATAGGGTCTCTATGAGTTGGCACCAACTTGACAGCACCTAACTAACAACAGATAGCCAGGTGGTCAAGCCCAGGAACCAATCCTATAATCCTTTTTAATCTTCAGTTATGTACGTGTCCTGGTCACAGTCCTTACCTTGCTTCTGTAGTCCTGCCTGCAACAATGATGAATAGATCTGTCACCAATCACTATTTGGTGATGCCTTCTTTGTTTTCAATCATATATAATTAATCCCATGTCTGTGACTCAGTGGACTCCTTCCAACTTTCTATACTGTGTACATGTTGATGCTTTCCCTCTTCCTAGATGATTGTCTTTGTTTTGTCTTGTCCTGTCGAAGGCTTAATATAAAATCTCTCTATTGAACCTGTTTGAAACTGGGGTCTTTTTTCCTCTACCACAGATCTCATTGACTTTGTTTGAGCTTGAAGTCAGATAAAATGTAGTGCCATTTGGTGTTTATTATAATTTTTTTTTAACCTTTGTGAATTACTTTACATTTGATTCCTTTAAATGTTGTTTTATTTTACTATATCAGGTTATTATTTCAGCCTGTGATTTTTTTTTTTTTTTTTGGTCATATGTTGATTTTGGAATAAAAGGCACCGATTAAACCCATAGCAGGTTGTCCAAACAAATGACCATTAATTCTGTGTTCTTAAAATTCATTCCACTTTGAATGTATGTATCACTTTCTAACAAGTTTGAGATGAGCCAGAGGAAACAGAAAGACATTTAGCAGGAAATAAGGCATAGGTACATGGTGCATTTGAGCATCAAGAGGGGAGGCTGGGTAGAGGGCAGAGCCTGTAGGTGCTCATCCATCCTGGCTTGCCTTGGACAGTGCCATCTCTGGCAGAATTACCAGTAGTGTATCTTTTCACTCTCAGTGCCACCTTTATGTGTTACCATGTTGCAAGCAGTGGAGGTTGGTGAATATTGTTTATTAGGCTGGTGACATAATTATATCTGTAGTTTAAGCCCTTGCAGGGCATAATAGTAAATCTTACCTTCAGTAAGCATATTTAATTAAATTTAATTTATATCTTATTGCATTCAGATGAATTTATTCTAATGTTTCTATTCTGAACTTTCTATCTTGGCTACTTCTTTTCCCTTTTGTTTTTTGAAGGTAGCTCAAGTAAGGCTTCAGAAAGAAACCTAAGCTAAAGAGAAAGTTAAATGAGACAGTTAAGGAAAGAAAAGTCCAAGGAAAAAATGTCACCTTGAGATATTTATTACAACATCCAAGGAGAGAGTCCATGGGTTTCCTTACTAGGAATTTACTGCTAATTCCCAAACTATCACATGTAACAATTACTTCTCTTCAGAGAAGCAATCAGTATTGCCTCTGCATTTTCATGATTTGTTTTTCGCTAGAAATTTATTTGGAATTGTTATCAAGGGTTTTGCATTTAGCAAGTAACTGAGATTAGGTAGAATTCTTTCATTCTACTCTTCATGATCCTTTTTCTTGTTAAGCTTTTCTTAGATGAATCTGAAGAGAGGATACATGTAGAGAGAAACAGACATTAAACAGAATAATTATCTATGTGGTCGTTGTTCAGGTTTCCATAGCTGTTTACTTCAGATACTTAGAGACTGTGCTTTTATGGGGCTGCTTATATAGAAAAGTATGTTTATAAAACAGCATCTCCATATGATTTTTCTTTATATAGCAATACAATTTCTTTGAAACCTGTAAAAGTTTTATTTTTGATTTCCGGTAAGATGGCAGAATAGGCAGAAAGCTACATAGAGCCTCTTCAACAAATAAAAGAGAAGCCAATCGACAGAGATACAGAAGATAATCCTGGAGTCCTGAGCTTTGAAAGGAAGTGTACAGAAGTAGATTAGGCACCAACTAGTGGAAAAACCTGAATGAAAACGGTGAGTACGGAGATGGATGGAGCTGCGGACTGTCAGCTACTCTGAACAGACCAACAGCCTAAATATTTCCAAGTGGTGTTGGGACCTGAGAATTGACCTAAAGATCAGCCCTGGTTGCCAAGGGCTACAGGGATGTCTGCGCTATGGCTTATGACTACTAGGAAGAGAAACATCAAGGAGAGAGACAACCTGACCTGTGAACTTTCAGCTGTCTGGGGAGCACAGCCATTTTGATTGTTTACAAGTAGCGGCCATTTTGGATATTTAAAGTGACCGGGGGTGCAGCCAATTTTAATTTTTACATGCAGCAGCCATTTTGAATATTTAAAGTGACTGCATTCTCATTCGGATGCCAGGGACCTTAGAATAGGATCCATTTGACAAGGACAACAGGGACATATGGGAGGCTGACAATGGGAAAGGAGACAGGTGGTGAGTGTATAAGTAATGCCACCTAGTGAATAGAGGAGCACAGTACCCTGCTTATGTAGATAACATCCAAAGAAAATGAAAATCTTGGGCAAGTCACTCCAACATACAATCACCAATTAAATATAAATACAAAAACATTACTATGTCTCAGAGACAACAGAGCATCACAGTCCACACAAAGAAGCAAGATAAAGCAGGAGAAACAAGGGAGCAGGATACAGACCCAGAACATATCTCTGAGGAAGAAGCAGCATTGGAACTCCCTAACAAGGAATTCAAAATAATTGTATTTAGATACCTTCAATGGGGGAGCTCTGGTAGCATACTGCCTAAGGCACTTGACTGCTCACCAGAAGGCTGGCAGTTCAAATCCACCAGCCACTCCTCAGGATGATGGGGCAATCTACTTCTGTAGTGTTGCTGCCTTGGAAACCCAAGGAGGGGTCGCTATGAGTCGGGTCCGACTCGATGGCACATAACAACAACAGAGCTTCAGTGGACTGAGAAACAGATCAAGGAAAACACTGATGAAATTAAGGAAAACACAGACAAAACCCTAGAACAATTTTGAAAAACAATACAAGAACAACATGGCAAAATAAATGAAAAATTAGAAATGATACAAAAATCTACAGATAGAAATCCTGAAGATTAATACTAAATTTGCAGAAATAGATAACACATTGAACAGGCAAAGGAGTAGAATTGAATCAATGGAAGAGAGAATTAGTGAGATTGAAGACAAATACCTCAATACATCTTTGGAAAGGGATCAGTCAGAAAAAAAGATCAAAACAAAATGAAGAAAGCCTACGGTTCATGTTCGATACTATCAAAAGGAATGATCTACATATTATTGGAATTCCAGAACAGAAAGAGAGAAATAAAATCCACAGAGAAAATTGTCGAAGATTTGTTGGGAGAGGATTTCCCTGGTATGATGAAAGATGAGAATATATCCATTCAAGAAGTCCAGTGAACCCCAAACAGGATAGACCCCAAAAGAAATCACCAAGACATATCATCATCAAACTCACCAAAACTGAAGATAAAGAAAGAATCCTAAAAGCAGCATGGGAAAAACCAAAAGTTACCTACAAGGGGCAACCAATAAGACTAAGCTCAGATTTTTCAGCTGAAATCACGCAGGTGAGAAGACAATGGGATGGTATATATAAAACCCTGAAAGAGAAAAATTTCCAACCAAGAATTATATGTTGTTGTTGTTGTTGTTATGTGCCGTCGAGTCGGCCCCGA